CGTTGCGCTCAAGGCCTATTTTCGCTCCACTACTACGCGATTTCTGGTCTGCATTTCTACCTCTCATGTACTGAATACCTGACCTAGTGTTCGAAAAGGTTGCATCCTGTAGCACATCCTGTTTGACTACTTAGTCGACTAGAGTTTCGGAGCGGTATACACAGTTTTGACGGTGTTTAAGTTTTGCAAAGACCGGCTGGTTGGCCGGTTGACGATATTGCCCTTCTGCAGTCATGTTATTCTGACCTCTTTGATGTCATGTGCCGATAAACGAGTTCGCTAAACTGGTGCTGTTGCCTATGAACATTGCAACAGCCGAGGTGCTTTTGAGCTCTTCTGTATGCCTAGAACACTTGAAGGAACTCAAAGTGCTTAACCACCCTTTTCTGAGAACCATTCTTCGAGTGAAGCACGTCGACTTCGTGCCGATTGTGACAGTCCGCATTCCCCAACACTACAAGGAAACCTTGGACTATCAAAAAAGGACAACTGAGATAGTTGAGTCTGTTCCTCGCAGCCGATCGCATGCATTCACTGCTACTGACCATCCAACATCGATGCCTAAGAATATGTGGAAAAGATTTCAGCTCAAAATGCGGTTTGACGCTGCTGCAGACCGTCACATGCTAATATGCACAATGCGCCATCGAAGCCGGCTGGATTAGGCCTGACTACAGCTGGACGCAGGATAAGTACCCTCCATCAACGCAGGAAACTCTGTTAGTCGCACATCCTATCTCATCATAGTCCTATCGGTATTGTGAGCACTGGCTAGTAGCATATTGTTGTTGTTTGTTTCCAGGTCAAATCTTTTTAGAGTTAATTATAACGGTTTGCGCCAATTATCCCAAGCTTCTTTGCCTATGTAGCCTTTCCACTGTCGTGAGAGATTTTGCTAGGTCTCGTTTTCTATACTGAACCAAGTCAAAGTAGGAAATACTTAGACAGTTCCTCTCGTTAGGCCGGACAAAAGCATGTCTACGAACTTTCTCCCATTGTTAGTGTAAAATCCCACGAACCTGTGCCCAATCAGCCAGTCAAAAGACTGGTCAAAATAACCCTCGTTGACCAGGCCATACATCGTGCCTCTCAGGCCGTCTATTCGTGTACGGCGGCCGTCTCTCTACTGTATCTTTTATCTCCTTAGGTCTGACCCAGACCACTAGGATCGTGCGATTTGACTAACTCTCATTGCATATTTGGATGTCCTGCTTAAACCTGTCGCTGTCGCCTGCAGTTTAAACTAACGCTGCGAGTCTAAGTCATCTGTTCAAGCGTTCTTGAATGTGGAACAATCTGCTGCCATCGAAATTCACTTATAGTAAGGTATCAGTACGCTCCTGCGACCAGTGCACAACACCGCGTATCGCTCGAACGTGAAACAACTGCCGTCTACTTGTAGTGTCAATTTGGACCTCTGACTGGTCCAATGCGATTCCAGAGTTTCCTTGGCCCGGGCGCCTGGTTGAATCGATTTTCACCATCACCGTTGTCTCGTTCTTTTAGAGGAAGTTCTGAGGCCGCGTTGGTCTGAGCGCGTCGAGGGTTCACGTATATTTCTTAAATTAGTCACATCGGCGTAAAACGGCAAACTTGAAGCCCAGTGCATGTCATGAAACCACTACTGGTTTTATAGTCTAATTTTTTTATTCTAGTTCTGTGGTATCAGGTTTGGATCAGTCGCACGATATTCTGCGACACCACCAGACAGCGCGATAGATCGCCCGAAGCCGTTATATACAGAGTGGATTACTTGGCGCAAATCTACAAGACAACAACGGACTGATGATAGCAGTGATATTATGTGGGAGTCCGAAGATGTGGAAATCGTCATCGACAGAACCCTCTCTCAGCGGAAAACCGAGCGGATTCTGTTCTTTTCGAAAGGTACAATAGGAACTGGAGGGATTCCGGTCAGGGTCATGTCGCGGTAGTTTTTACGTAGTGGCCTATCGTGTTTGTTGAAAACCTTCACAATAATGCTGGTCCCAGTCCCCGAATACCGTTGCAACACCCCAAATGTAAGTTAGAAGTCTATGCAGTTGATTTGCTGATGTAATGGAGCGGCGCTTTTAAATTTCTACGAGTTCTACCTCTCAGTCGATGTCCTATTTTTAAGTTTCGCTATCGCGCCAATTGTCATGGACCGGCAGGGTCGAAACTGTACTCGGGAAGTGAGGCATCCTCGAAATGGATGGCTCCACGAACCTCGTTGGCATCAAGTACGTTGCTTGTGACTACATCAACGCGAATTGACCACCTTAACCAACAATCAAATACGTCGTCAGTGGGCTGTCTCAAGTATAACCAACCAGAAATTATTTTTGGAGGACCTAATTTACGGATGGCTATGGATGCTTATACTGCTTAGTTATGAAGCTACTAGGGCCATCAATGTGTGGAACGTATGATGAGGTGAAAGGGACGTGCCATATCCCTTTGAATACGTCCTTTGCAGTGTTCTGTTTCAGAGTAACGAATAATGTTTGACTCCCCTCATGTCACAGATAAGCCCCTGGGGAATTCACCTGTACACGTCTTATTTTCCTTATGGTGTGCGTTTTACCAGTCACGTTTCGTGCTTGTAAGTAGTTTCGAAGTCTGGGATATTTCACCATAAGCGAACATTTTTGACCAAGATCGTCTAGACAGTATTAAGTGATTAACGGTGTAATTGTAGAATGCAATGTTTACGGTTAGTGTTTTTTGTGCGGTTGCATCATCATAGAGGTCAGCAATTCTGCTTATTATTTTAGGATAATCGGGCTTTAAAAAGGCAATGAAAATGCTTTGCTTTCTGCAAGTTTCTGTAAACGATTTTTTGGGAATTTCAAAATTTCGAAAAATGTGACCTCAACAACTCGTGTCAAAATCGGCTCAGAACCAAGAAACCTTGTGGACGGTCCCTTCTGGGTAATCCTTAGGTTAGTTGATCTTTACGAGTGCCTCATTCTTGGATGTTCTCGGGACACCTGAGCAAACCAGTTCCACAATTTCCACCGTCCTCGGTGAAAATGCTGTTAGGGAGGGAGTGCATCATACAGTTTGCGTTCGTCTTCTTGTAACTTTATCGCGATATGCCAGCACTGTTTTATTAGTTGGAAATCGGGCTCATATGACCTTAATGAATGCCAAACCTGTCATCGGTGAGCATAGTTATGAGTGGCGAAAGCTTGGAAGAGAAAAGTATTTCAGTAAATTAGTTATTCAGCGTACGTCGGGGTAGCAGAACCATGCTCGGTCCCATCTAAACGGCGCACGTGGCATTCGTCGGTTTAGCCGAAAGACATGCATGTCAGATGCACGGCAAGCTTTCATTAAACATATCGTAGTCTGCAAAAATTTTTAATTGGTGTTATTACGATTGAAGGCGAGTACGCGAGCCCCGTCTCTTCATTCAGAGAAGAGTATATGGTCACCGGAACGCTAACTGTTCGTCTGGGCCTTCGAACCCCTACGGGAGCCTATCTAAAGTGACTAGAAGAGTAGGATCGAATGACAGTCGAGAGTAATAACGGCGAAGACTCAGAAGAATACAATTTCCGCTCCGGTGATCACATCTTATTCTTCGATATTGTTACCCCCGGGAGCTGCCTCAATTTACATTCATCAGCTGATAAGTAAACAGTTTGCCGCGTTTTCGTGGGTAGGAAAACCCAGATTTATTTAAATTTCGAAGTACCTTACGTCATTCTTGTCGTTGACAACCTCGAACTTTACCTCCACCCCGGGGTTTCCCTTTTCCACTAGCCAACACACCCAATCGAGTTTTGGTTTTCATACTGCCGATCAGGTGTTGGTTGAAAGCAATGAGGATGGCATTTCGCCTGTATGAGGCGCGCTGCATCATCTGGCGGCTGCCAATAAAAAAAAACAGTGGACCATAAGCCAGTATCTGCAGTTGGTCCGAATGACCACGCGTTTCCCAACTTTCATCAGCCTAGGCCTCTTTGAATTAATACTCGCAATAAAGAGACATCCTGTTTACCAAACCCTTAAGTGAGAAAATGTATTTGCTTTTTCGCCTGTCTTCTGGCGGAAGAGTGGAATAATATGGAGCAAAAAACGTTTTCTTTCAGCGGCCGCAATGCATTGAAGCAAATTTGATTGCTTTTTAGGGAGGGTCACACATTAGAACCTAACTGTGCGCCCTGCGGGGCCGAGGGGAGTTTGTTTGAGGTAGAAAACGGGTTGAATGTGAGCGGAGGTACCTCAAACTCCAATTCAGGCCTTTTTTCCGTCCACGGGCTGCCAACCGTATTTATTTACTCCAACCATCCGTTGAGCCGCATCCTGTTAACTCGCTCCAGCAAGCGGTCCAAATCGCGGATCCTGTCCTCGGTCCTCTTCCAGAGTTGGTCGAAGTTTTCGCTCCCTGAGCAGGTCCTGTCAAGAGGCATGCAACAGCACAACTCGTTGAGGAGTCTGGGCAGATCGTGGGAGATCAGCACCCTGCCGCGCCCAACCACATCACGCACAAAGTCTGCAACTAAAAAGGCAGAGGGTCATTATTATTCTACCCACGAGGAAGCCCAGTACTCCATGCACCGAAAGCCATTAAACAATGACTGAAATGGTTGAACACGCTTTTAAGTAAACACCAGAACTTAGGGGAGGTTGCACCAGTGTCGAGTACGGGTCACGTTCCCGGGCGCACATTATGCACAGTAGCATAATGGTTTATGACTACACACAATCGCACCTGCGTAAATACCACACAGACTATTGCTTATTTAGCACCTGATTTTCTACCGATGTTCCGTGCTTATACAGATTGACTCCTAACCGGAAAGGTTGTGAGATAGATCCTACATAAGTAGTGCAAACTTTTCGCTCATTTTGCTGCTTGTGTAGGTCTGGTCACGTTCTGGCGGAAGGATGCATGCAGATTTCACTTTGTGAGCCCCTTGATATGTAACTCTGTACTTGTAGGAAGTGCATACTTCGTATGTGTATATGTATATGTATATTGAAGGGTTACAGGCAGAGCCCTTGATGACCCTATTTATGTACAGTGCTTTCGCAGATTCATACTCAAAAATAAAATAAAATTGCAGGCATTTAAAATGTGATTGGGTCACAGTTCAGTCGTAATCATAAGGTAGTGCATGGGGTCACTGTAAATTGGTGCGGAAGATTGTATATGACAGATTTTACAAAACTGGCTGAGCATAATCATGCTGTACAAGCCGATTTCTGTCGAAAACTAGACGAGCAAGTTTTCTTTTAAACACACAAACTGTGTCAGCCGTCACCATCTCGCTTGGAAGCGAGTTCCACGGCCTGACAACCCGCTGGCTGAAAGAAAATTTTCGTCGGTCTAAACGTGTTCGCTCATTCCCGACTTTGAATGCATGGCCGCGTAGTTGGTTTGTACGGGCGAACTCAAAGAAGTCCTCTGCCCTTAATGAGCAACCCTGGCCGCGAACAATCCGGAACGTCCAGAGTAGACTGCAGTTTATTTGTCTATAAGAGAGAGGGAATAGGCCAAGCAAATTTAGCCTCTCCTGATAAGATAAATGCTTTAGACCGTCGACCATCTTTGTCGCTCTGCGTTGCACCTGTTCGAGTAAGTTGATATCCTTCCTCATCCATGGTGAAGCTGCTGGCATTCCATACTCTAGATGAGGTCTTACAAAGACACCAAAGAGTCTTTCGAAGAGTTCAGGAGGAAATATTTTAAATGCACGTCTGATCCAGTGTAGAGTACTAGTAGCCTTCTGGACCATCTTTCTGCAGTGTTCTGATGGCGATAGATTTGTGGTCGTCCATACACCCAGATCTCTGTGTCTTTCCACAGTTTCTAACCTCGTCCCGTCAATATAGTACTGGTGTTTGGGACAGGCATTGCGGCCGGTGTTCAGGTGCAAAACCACGCATTTGAACACGTTAAACTTCAAAAGCCATCTGTTCGACCAAGCACACAGTTTGTTGATGTCCGACTGCAACTTCTCTGCGTCATCATCACACTTGACTTCACTCCATATTTTTATGTCATCCGCGAACATGAGAGCCTCGCAATTCACTTCGCTGATGCAGTCATTAACATAAATCAGGAAGAGTACTGGGCCTAAGACAGAACCCTGTGGGACACCACTTTCCACCTTTACCCATTCCGAGGTAGAATTACTAACGACGACTCTTTGTAGTCCGGAGGACAGGAAACTCCTGATCCATTTAAACATTCTCCCTTGAATCCCTACATCCCAGATCTTTTGCAAAAGAAGCCTGTGTGGGACACTGTCAAAGGCCTTCTTGAAGTCAAAAAATATGACATCTTCTGGAAAACCCTTATCGGTAGCTCGTGTCCATTTCTCATGCGAGTAAAGAACACTCGTTAAGCAGGAGCGCCCTGGACGAAAGCCGTGTTGGGCATCGCACAATATTTTGTTCTGTTCCAGGTATTTCATCAAGTGTCTTTTGATAATGCGTTCCATTATTTTACACGCGATGCAAGTAAGACTGACAGGACGATAATTTCCGCAGTCAAGTCTTGAGCCTCCTTTATGGATCGGAGTAATCAGTGCGCACTTCCATTCTTCCGGTAGCTCGCCGTCTTCAAATGTAATGATGAAATCTTAGGAACGTCCGCAAAAGTCCACTCAGACTTTTCAATACTGTTTTCGAAGTATGCAAGCTAACTGGAGTATAATGCGCTGTTTTCGAGCGTGAGATAACTCTTTCACAGGAACAGGAGGAGACATCTTTGTTTAAAATAAAACGTGTAGCATGCAGTTTGGCATGTTTAGAAACGAACAAGCAAAGAGACGGGTTGTGTTTCGAAGGATACACGAATTTTTAGGCATTTGGAAACCGGAATACTCCCCACCTACAAATATAACTATGAAATGTGATGTTTATTTCCCACAACATAAGTGTGCACTTCGCTAGGAACTAGGATTAGATTTATATACATGCATTAATGACGTAGGAGGAACGCGCCCACTATCTGCGTAGTGGTTTTTCTAGAATGTTGTTTACACCAGTGGTTGGTGTTCTCACTAAAAAGATCGGCATGATTGGGCAATTTTTCTTATTCGAAAGTAAGTTAAAGTACCACGAGTCTCGGTACATTTTGCATGGTCAAAAAGAGAATAAGAGCAGTGCAGAGCGGAAATATGGTTGGCACTACGAATAGCTTTTGTCATAGGGGAGGTCAAAAGTCTGAAACTTGCACTGAGACCTCGGCGGAAGTAAAGTCCTGCTCTACCAAATGTGTCTTTTGGTGGCAATAGCATGGCCGACGGAAAAGACGACTGCTTACTCTCCCCTATCCCTCTCTCCGCGTATAGGCGTGTTAGAAACAACAGAAAGGTGCAATCCTGCAAGGCTGAAAAACCGTCCAGTAGGTCGGCAGTTAGCGGATACTGCCTGTATCGGCATGCAAGCTGGCGGGCTTCCCAAGTGAGGTTGGCCAGCTGAAATGGCTAATCAGGTCCGTAGGTCATGGACCTACGTACGTTCACACATGTGCAAATGGGTTCAAAAAAGACCAGGCTAAAAGTGGACGCCAATTTTTACCTGAACAGTGCTTAACTGCGCAAAATGTAAACTGCCTTCGGCTACATAAACAAGAATACTGGATAAGAGTGTGTGCATATAATTCGCTAAGAATTTCCTGCGCTCGCTTTTCAGCGGGGCGGAGAAGGCATAGCCTGCTTGAGTCAAGCCCTAGACTCTGCTAATTAAAAAAAGAAGGTAGTGACGAATATGAAAGACGTGGCCGGTGATTCCTCCTCCATTAACAGTAATCTGTCCCGTACTGTGGGAGATATGCTAACCTGCGACAACTACAAGACGTAGTGTTTTTTTCGTAAGTTGGATACCGCAGATGCCTCGGTTTACTTAAGCAAAGAGAGGAAACTCCCACGATGACGTTCCGAAAATTTAAAAGTGGTTTCTGCAAAAATTTTATTATTCGCCCTATGTTTCGACCATCTCGGCCTACCATCCACATTCGACGACGAAGGCGCAGTAGAGTTGGCCACCTCAGTTGTCACGTGGTTTTCTTGTTGCTGTTGGAGATGAGCGCCCAGATCGATAACTGCCCCAGCACACAATAGGCGCATATGTAAAGACCATAACCACTTGGCCACGTGGACCGATAGCGCTCAGTTTACCATGCACGAGTCTGTCCAGGAAATAATACGCCGTCATGGTGGCTGGAAAATTTGTTCTCACCCGGTCTGGCCTCCGTGGTGTGGTTGCTAACGCAAAACTTGGTAGGTCGGGGGAGATCAACGTTTCGATTGCTAGACTCGGCATCGGCTGACCAGACTCAAAAGATGAGTATTTTCATTCGCATAAGGTCCCGTACGGGGGGATTCCGGCACTTCCTGTTTGTATATATGATCACAAAGTGCTTACCCTGCCAGTCACCCTAATGCGTGTTGATAACTAGCGAAATTAAGAGAAAAAGCATTGACTTAGACATGCCCCCTTTTGCAACCCCCTAGGAGTTTCGCGCTTTAACTGCGACATAAACACGTAATGGGTCTGCGCGTTTGGGATGGTGTGATTTAAAACCCGACCAGTCTTCCTACGGACCAGAAAGCGACTACTCCATGTATTTGCCCAATTAGGCGTCTGTTTTAAAGCAGTTCGGATGTCTCTTATTCACTCTCCATGGATGTATTTGATTTGTTTGGAGTTGAGGCGGGGCCAGTATGTAATGCACAGCATCGACCCTGCCATCTCTCATTATCTCCATCACTGTCATAAGGAAAATCAAGCTACCATAACGATTTGGGAGTGGGTACAATGGCACAACCCTCATCCTTCAAAACGAATATCAGAAGCTAGATATGTTTGCGAACTAATCGGCAAACGGCAATAGTTAATCGACAGCAAACGTGCAAAAGATGACTACCTTAACAATCATGAGAGGGACGGTGAGTCTGCAAACGCTAAAGCATATAAGCATGCAGGAAAACTGCAGTGTCACCCATTTTGGTTGAGAAAAAATGCACCAGACAATGAAAGTGTCAGCTCTTAGCTGTGAAGGGAAGTAATCGTGCATTAAACCCGTTTCCACACGGTTTCATCAACTCAGCAAAAAATTTTTTGCTACGGTCCTCAGATTCGTGCTCGGACTAACGGTAAATAAATTCGGGGATGAATTTAATTTTCCTGTAAAGATAAATCGGAGGATTTGAAGGAGCCTACCTATTAATGTTAAACAAATAACCAACTCAGTTAAACAGAATGACGGTCCGAAGCCGGGCTTCTCCCGCTTCTTTTCAGAGCGTTTAAAACATACATATCTGCCTGAAGCTGACGCATTTCGAAAAAAAACGTGATCAACCGTTCCATAGTGGTCCAGACCCCAAGGCGCATTATCAATTTTCGAAAACATCTGTTTGGACAGTGGCCGATCCTTAGCTTGTCTGAATTCGTTTTGAGCACTGCCTGCACTGTGTCTTAAGGTAGGTATTAAAGATCGTAGAAGGAGGAGGAGGAGGAGGACATTCACGTCCTGAATTCAATAAAGCTCCAGGATGACTTTCATGTAAAGGACGCCACTAGAACCAACACTTGTGAACTATACGAGTGAGCAGAAAAAATACCTACCTTCTGTTCTCATCATGCCCGCAAAGGCAGACAAGTCGAGATCGCATTCGTTCAGCTGACAGACTAGTTCATTCTCCTTGCGGTTAATATAGTCCAGATAATTGGTCCAGCGCTCAGCAAGGTGAGTTTGCCGGCAGGAGCTTTGTACTCGATGTTGTGTGGTCATCCGCCTGCAACTACCAAAAGTACTACTGCTACTCGTTGTGGTACTGCAACACTCAACGCAACTCAACGGTCTGGATAGCGGTGAACCGAAGTCGGGCTTCGTGTCAAAGCAAGATGAGACCGCCACCTCGCAAGGTGGGGGCGGCGTTGGAGTACGGCATCGGGGAACGCAGCAGTTCGCTTCGGGTGGCGGTGGCAGCGGCAAGGAGAGGTCTTCCTCCGGGTTTGAACAATTATTCTCAAACATGTAGTGATACTTTAGATTCCTCTGCGGTTTCGGTCGGCAAGTCGGTCTCCGCAAGGGACTACACCCACTGGTGTTGGAGGTGGTGCAAGAGCAGCAAGTCGGGATTCTTGTGAGATTGCAACTGCCACTGCTGGTAGCGGTGCAGCTTGCTCGACTTGGTAGACTGGCAGTCAGAATCTCCTCGCAGGGTGAACTAGATCGGCTGATGACACGACATATGCTGCTGTCTCTACCACGCACAGGCATCTTTTCCGGTGGAGATGAACAGCGAACCGCACGGCGACGACACGGTGAGGGCGAGGAGCGCCGGGCGAAAAGTATCCGTCCAGCAGGGGTGTCGCAGGAGTTGATGGAGGTACAACTGCCGAACCTTACTGTCCGTTCGGGGTTGGCGACGGGGCTGCAATGGACAGAAACGCGTCCGCGGGGTCGTTGCGGCGATTGACAGCGTGGTGGAGAACTACCGCAGCAAGCATCGACTGGGAGAACAGTCGGTCTAGTGGGGCAGACTTCCGATTGCGGTTTACGGCTAATGGAACAGGCACGCCGAAAACAGGGAGCCTGGGGTGTCCGACTGTTGCACTGGTGCTCCGAGATGCGTCTAACGCTGTGTGTGCGATAGAGGGTAACTTGCGGCGCGGGGTCGGCATGGAGGAAGCTGTCAAGGCGACTCTGTCGGCAGGCATAGGGAGGCACATCGGCGTAGAGGGGGGAATGCGGTGGGCAATAAGACATGTTTGCTCGCGGGCGTAAGCTCTTCTGGGTGTGTTGGTTGACAATAAAGCATTTATTTGTGCGCGGACCCAAAGTACCCTGTTAAAGCACGTGAGTGTGCACCACGCGTTGATGCGCAGTTAGCGAGCACTTTTCGCGTTACCACCACCGGAATAATGGTCTGAGAACCAGCCAAAGGGAAGTTGGACCGGTGTGCGCCGGTAAGGACGGGAAACCTAAGGAGGACTCATGCATGACGAGAGTTAACTCGTAAGAAAACTCAAAATCCCGTGAGCGAATTGTTGTGATAACGAGAGTATATTTGCATACTGCGCAGAAGCATGAGAATTGTAGCTAGTGTCACGCTGTCGAACCTTAAAAAGGGCACGAGTAGGTACAGGCGGGTTGGAAACTACCAACGATACCTCTCTGAACGGCAATCTTTGGCCTCTATATTTTCCGTAAAACACCTGTCAGTTATGTAGCCTATGTGCTCTGGAAAGATATTCATTCCAGTGCGTAGACTATGCCTCAGCTAATGTGTCGTTCAGATATGTCTACTAACCGACATAGTTGTCGGGGTATGCGGGGTTACATGGGCGGAGACTAACTTTGCAGACGAGCGGCAATTTCCACGAGGTCGAAAAGGTTTGATGTCGTTGCAGGACAATACGCCGACAAAGGCGCAATGTCGTAGAACATCGGGCATGGAGCAGCAATAAATGTGACTCCATCCAAGTCGATATGGTTAAGCACGGGGACAGTCGTAGCACTAAAGTGGTGGTCATCAGGCAGCGCATTGATGAAATTGGTGAGCATTTTTACCGCGCCCTCCTCCAGTCCCCATCAGGAGCTTCATGAAGCCGTGCTCTGCACAGGCTCCCCACATCTGTAACTGTCCTCTGTCGGCGGGATAAACCAGATAAGGGTGTCCGATGTCCGTGTGTAACCGTGCAGGACAGTCCCAGGACTAATTTCTATCTTCCCTCCCAACCCCCAAAAATGTCCTACGAAAAGGTTAACGTGCAATTCCGTGGGTGGCCAAGGTTAATTCGAATCGTCTTCTCACAGTGGGAGTCAGTAGCAGTTTGTGGCGACTAAGTAGCCCAACTTAGTTGTAGCACAGTCTACTAGCTCACGTGAGAGTTAAAAGACCTGCCCCAAAAATGCTGTGCAATCGCCCCGTATGCTAGCTGGTTGTGACTTGTGGACGCAAAACATGCGGTTGAAATTTTATAAGAAAAAACAAATACCCTTGTCCACAGTCCGTGCCTCCCAACAGGCTATCAGAGCTACGATGCGCACTCTAACAACCTGAAATGTTTTGTTTTAGGCTCGCAACAAAGTGGACGTTGAGGCGCTTAGGGAGACCCTCTTGTTCGGACAGAGACAAGTGGAGGGGGTGGATGCTGGAACATGCGACCAAAGACCGGGCACCAAGAAGCCGGAGGCATCTTAGGCACCAAGAACAGCTTCATGAGACGGCCGTCCTGACTCCTGCAGGGTATCATCGATTATCCTACGATCACGAGACTGTCGCTCCACGAGAACAAATTGGCTATCGGTACCAGCAACTACACCCCCCACCCCAATCATCAGCTTCGACGATTGGAAGGACTGTTGCCGACAGCCGTCATGGCTATGTCTGGTGTCCTTGTCCGTGGTATCGCTGCCTCAAGGTCATTCACCCCTTGCAGCAAGACGTTCCAGACGCACTGACATGAAGCCACTCGACCGACTTCATCTCGGACACGCCTGCGTCCACACAGTCGCAATTGCCCATGCGGCCACTTGAACGCACCTTCCCCTGCAACCACAACATAAGCTACTTAAACACCACTCCCCAGCGAATGCAACATACCAGTTGGATACCTCTTCAGATCGTCCCACAAAACTGCCAAGTAAGCTGCTACCACTCACTTGAGGACTCTCAGGGATGACTGCACGCAGTCAACACCAGCCCTGGCTTCGCCAGCGGTCACTGCCGCCTAAGAGGCCAACCCAGGGTTTTGTGTACATCAACCCTTTCATTCTGGTGCGTTCCGTCCTCTCCTTACTAGTCGGGATTTGACCTAACGATTGTAGCGCTCTGAGTACACACTCGCCGCTTAGCCGCCACAGGATCAAATCCACGAAGACTTGCACGCAGTCCTAACGACAGAGTCGAAGGCGGACCAACTGACTACTCTTGGTGACCTAAGTGAGCGCATCGCTAGAGACCATGCCGTCCGGAAGAGTGATGGGTGGCCAGGGGATCGACAACTTCATCAGCAACCGCCTTCTCCTGCAGGTCTGCACGGAGCACAATCTTATCAGACTAGCACCTTCCGTCTTCCGATGCGGGAGAAGCCGACGTGAACGCATCCTCGCTCGCATCATTGACACGTCCTAGTTGGGAGGTGTGACGAACGTAACATGTTTGTGACGAAGACGATATGCGGTGCCGACTGCTGGGCGGATCATCGCCTTGTCATCTCTAAGATAGGGCTACAACTGCAACCGGGTAGAGGACCACAAAATAAGTCGATAACAGGTAAGTTATATACTCTTTTACAAGATACGGCTGAACGCCGATTGAATTCCAGCAGCTGCCTGAATTTCAAACTGGAAGTTGTGCAAGCCCTGGAGGTGTGTACCAAGGTGGAAACCCGGTGGAGGAAGATGCGGAATGCCATTCAGATGGTGGCAATGAAAGTCCTCAGCCGTGTATGCCGACATCGTCAGGCATACAGGCTTGATGACAATGACGAAGAAATTCGCACTCTAATCTCTGAAGTCACAAGTCCTGGAGCGCTGGGTTGAGCGCATTCAGGGCGTAATCAAACACATGTTTAAGATCTACGAAGACATCAACCGACATCCATAAGTGAACGCTAACGACGACCTCGATCGGCCACCCTCTCTCCTTGCGATAACTAGAGCAGCGCAACCGTTGTTCAGTTAGAAACACCAATGTCAACCTAAGTATGGCAGCCCATTACATGTGGAATAGTTTACCTCAGTGTTCCGGGAGATGTGGCGACAAGGAAACATACCCCAAGACCTAAAGGATGCCAGCACAATGCACATTTATAAACACAAGGCGGACCTACAACTTTGTGACAACCACAGAGACATCACCCTTCTCAACATCAGGGGCGAAATCCTCGCCCGTATTCTAACCTTATCGCCGGAACACGCATCTTCTGGAACCCAGCGTGGAATCAAAAAAGGCTGGAGAACCAAGGATATGGTCTTTGCGGTCTTTCGACTGCAGGAAAAGTGCCAGGCAATGAGGACCAACCCCTCAAACACCCTCGTGGATCTAATGAAGACCCTTGACATAGTGAATCACGATAAGTACAAATGGCAAGACAAGCAAACGACGGGATGCCTACTCACATTGTCAGCAACAGGTATGGTCTGAAGCATTTGCGGTGCGGCAGGGCTGAGTACTCGCTCCCGCTCCATCCATTCCCATGCTCACCGCTATACTGATGGACGCCTACTGTGAGGAGCAGCTGACGATCAACGTCGACTACGGAACCAACGGGAAACTGTCCAGCATCCGTCGCCCAGAAAGCATTTTTGCGAGTATCCAATGTCAGCGTCCATTACCTACTGTTCGCATATGACGGCTTGCTAAACACCGCAACGGAGGAGGAAGTGCAAAGGAGCATGCACCGTCCTGCCTCCTGCTGCTCCAACTTCGGACTATCAGTACGGAGAGAACAATGGTCGCGCACGAACAGGCGTCAAATGCTGACTGCACCGGAACACACCTCACAGAGGTGATGTGGCTGGAACGGATCTGAGGCAGTGAAATCCTGAAAAAAAAATCGGCGTCCTCAGTATTCACGCGATGCTGAGGCAGACAAAATTGTGATAAATCAGAAACTTCCTAAGGATGGGTGACGAACACCTGCTCGCGTGGGTGTTCTACGGCCACGTAGCTACGCGCGTAAGCAAACAAGTCGAACAAAAGTGGCACTACAAACACACCTTGATGACCCCTCTCAAGTTCCTACAAATCAACCCGGAGGTTTGGGAAGACTTCGTTTAAGATCGACGGGCGTGGCACACAGCCGTTTAGATCCCATCCATCACGCACCACATTCCGTAACAATAATACCGCGTTCCGGCAACAAGCGTGTGACCCACTTCGTCGTCACCGGTATGGCCGGCGTAGCGTCACGTAGCGGAACATGCCAATTTCATGTAAGTGGGAAGCATGCCCTTGGCACCCTGTTCCATGAAGTTGACCAGGTAGTGTGCGGCATGCTTAGACGAGTTGTTAACCTTTCTCAGACACTGCACCCGAGTCAACTTCCGATCGTATTGATATTGTCAGGTCATCGGATCCTGGTGGGTGAGGGGAGACTGCGGTAGATGTCGCGCCCACTCTGTGGCGCACACTGTGGAAGTTGTCGCTCTTCATGGTCGAACCATCACAATAAACTCGAGTAAAGGGTGCGCGATTGTGTCTCACTCCAAATTTTCACATTCCAATCCACTCTATCCTGCTACTGAAAGGTTTGCATTGTAATCCAGACAGAGAGGCGGTCAGAGAAAATGGACTACTGACTGTTCACACTGCCGGCGGTCAACTGGTAACTTGGCGGGACGATGTCGGCGGCTCATGGGCAGCTCGGAGCGTATGTTTGCTAGTCGCGGGCCTGATGTTTGCAGCCAATACCATAAAATATTTTGGCGCGTTCAACATTTAAGTACCATCCCAAGTTAACATATTGTTTTGGCCTGCGAAGGGGACGTAATGCGGTCCTACCGACCGGCATCCAGTCAGGCAGTGTCAGAGCCGCGCAGTCCTGGCCAACATTTGCATCAGAGAAAGAAATTGATGGGGGCCAGTCACAATAAGTCCTTAGCTAACGAATCCCCGGAAAAAGGAATTGGAAGTTGTATAACAGACAAAGGTTAGCCGGTTGGTGGCGACCACGGTGGAATTTAAAAGCACCGATGTGTGCATACTCATCCAACGCAACTGAGTTTGATTTACGAGATTTGTGGTCAAATATGTGAATTTTCGGTGGAGCAAAATTAAGCATTAGAGAAAGCGATGCCGATTTCTAACAAGACCGCTTTGCTTTCCGTTTTCCAAGAACGACTCTCCATAGTTCTGAGGCCGACCCGGGCAGAATTCAGAGGATGACCTCTATTCTGATTGGCAAAGAAACTCGAAAGTTAGAACCATGACAGGGAGAATGCAGCCCGATTTTGCAGATGACCAAGAAAAGCGGCTTCACTAGCAGCATTAAGGCAGAGGCTAGAACTGGCATCTTGGATTAGGAGGGAGAGGAGGAAAAGATGATTTCGAAAGCCAATACTATTAATTAGAAAGCTACAGAGAACTAACACCGACCGAATGTGTTCGATTTTCAACGTGAACAAGTAAATCGCTGTGACGGAGAAAGTAGACAATTTGGGAAGTCTCACCTAAAGTGAAGTGAAAACACGGTACGCACAGGCGAGTTGACAAAAATGACCTTCGACAATCGTATCAAACTAGGGCTGTTGGATCTGAGTACTATGTGCAGGTCGGCCGGGGATAATTAGTGAGGGACAGATAAAACAAGCAGGTCTTACGCCAGAAGGTAATCGATTTACATTAGCAGTGGTGAAAATGCAGCTACCAGGGAATGTGTCATAAAAGAGCCTTTACTGGGAGTCGCGCACCTGCAATCTGACACCTCAAGTAGTGAATTCAATAAATTTTCAGAGGTCAGTTAATTTTAAGCTCGTAGACAGCACATCTCCATTGGTTGACATTGACCTCCACATGTGCTCGATGCATGCAATCCTGCAGAGTGCCTAAAGTCCTCGAAACCAAAATAAAAGGCCACTGTTCAGTGAAATAGGTACATTAAATACCAAGCTGGAGAGGAAGTCTTTCCGAGACAAAAACTTGCCATATTGCTTAGCAGTACCTTTCTATTCATACTATTTTGTTCTCTTCCAGGTTATACAAAAACTTGCTGTCATGTTAATGCTAGTGCAACAGCAAGATTTATTCAGAAGACTTATGATCTTGATACTTCTGACTGCGACAATGTATAGGAAGTGGTCTTCTCGCTTCAGAGGTGAAGAATTTGGTGTACAGGACAAATCAGGGAACAGACGGTTAGAGGGACCCGATTTATGGGGACTTGATAAAAGTGTTAGAGTTAATCCCTTCATTACAACCAGGAAGATTGATGATCATTTTAGTTAGCCGTTAAACAGCCGTACGCGAATTCGAAAGGTGTCTGGAAGGCCGGTCTTGCACAGTGCATCTGATTAGAATAACCAAAGGCGCGTTAGTTGTCGTTACTGATGACAGGGAGTGGATCACTCGTTATAACGCAAAGCGCCGTCGTCAGTAAACCAGTCGCGGGAATAGATCAGTTCAGGATCCAAGAGATCTTCAGCCTACAAAGGTCATAGTAGGATATCAAAGAAGTCACCCATGTTGGAAAATAACCAGACAATCAACACTGACATGCACTGCCGCAACTTAGCCGTTCGAACGCTGCCCTAGAGAAGGGACGGTAATGTTTAGAACAAGGGAAGAGATTCATCCGCGGTGATAATGGCCATCCTCACACCGTAAGTTACCAAGGGTCTGAGAGAAGAATTTCCCTGTGGAAAAATGCTTCATCCATCTTATTTTTTAAAGACGTTGCTTATTAGATTATCATCTGTATAAGAGTTCATAAAATCCCTTGGGTGGACTGAGATTGGCATAGAGGTTGAAAATGACCCGACTTCTTATTACTTATCAAAACGGAAGGAATTTTTCAAACCAAGGGTCCCTAGATTCCCTGTAAGATTGAACGATGTCGCGTAAACAGTGGCAGATAACATTTCTATGAGCATTTATTCTCCCACTTACATTGTATAAGATAAGAACTAAAGGAACTACCGCTCCGGCCTGATACATTCTGCAACCACTGTTCCTGATGAAGTTACTCGATTTTCAAAGTCCAATCGAGCACCTCAACTGGTAAATTTAAAAACCAGCACTGGAAATTCGGGGATGAAAAGTCCATATTGGAGGTTTTCGACACTTTTATTTTCAATAAAAAGTACAGATGAGCTCATACACTGGCCCATATCAATGGGGTACACAAATGGCCAAACGCATATGTACTTGCGCCTTCCTAGTTTAAACCACCTCCCTCCTTGGTGTGACCGATGCAGGGAACCGAGGGGGCCGGGGTCAGACGCTCAGAGGGTGCTACCGCCTTAAGTAAATGAGTTAGAAGCAGACAGAGTTCACACCTGAATAGACAAAGCATGTAGGCCCGAATTAAATTCGTCCTGCAGAGCCTTTTTGACTAGTCTGTGTCGCTGCCCCATAAAAATGATCTAGGGAAAAAAAGAAGCAGGCATACCATCACGTGGCTCAAATTCTCAAAGTCTTGCGACACGATTGAAATGCGAAAATGAGTTTCAGCACCTTGACGAAGGAGGGGAGAGGGGCGGGAGAGACGAAATGACGTAATCAACGTGCGTACCTTTGCTGGAAGAATGCAGTTTACTGTCGTTGATGATCTCGAGGTGGCTTGGCTGAAGTTAAAGTATGAGGGGATCAACCTGGGCGGTGGTTTAAGAAGATACCTTGAAGAGGGCTGTCAGTTTGGCGCGAATGTTACTCTGGATTGAGCCGACTTTGGTGCTACAGCTCAGGTATCCAACACTCGTCGTCTTGGGTAGTGCCCGAAAAATATTCAGCAAGGAGTACATGCTGCAAAGACGAGAATCGCAAAGGTCAGAAAAATGACAAGCTGATTCAGGGGAACAGGTGGTTAGGATATGGCACTCTACAGAAAACAAATTTTTAAGTAGGGGTGACACTTATGAGTAAGAAAGACCGACCGAGCATTGGGACAATTTGTTTATCATTCTGAACTTCCGAACTCGTGAAGGAGTTTATCGCTATCTGGGGGTCACTGATCAGAGCTCTGTGTCGGCACCAGATCTATCGACTAAGTTTTTATTCAAGGCCCAGATCTCAATCAGTTCTCGGTTTGTCTTGCTTTTGGGGTGAGCGATTACCTTGGCGGTTGTGAAATTAAGCTCGTGAGCCGTTTCGAAGGTGCGGACAGCAACTTGGGATAATCCGTCATCCCGTCGCACAGTTACCTTATGTACGTGTATGCGCGATCTGTGTTCAGTTTGGCCTGTGGTTACAAGGACAGTTTAGGCGTGGGATGCGATACACTACCTCAGACTGCTCCTGGGCATTGAATCGGTCCTTAATCTTCATGACCCTGGCCTGATGCCCAGGAAGCACGACTAACTCCAATGACAGTGAATCAAACACAAGATAGTTCGTGGTGCCTGCTTACTGAAAAGGGATTTTCATTACCGCGGACTACAGAACCAAGAAAATCACTCGGATAGAAAATGTCTGCCTGTTTTCCACCCGGAAAATATTTCTTCATAGCTCGCAGCAGTAAGAATAGCGTCTGGTGATTGCCAAATCCTATCCGACTAGTTTTTGCCGTCTGTAGGATCTCAAATGGATTCTTTGGCTACGTCCTGATGGCGAGCCACTGATTCTGTCAATTAGTGCATCGATATATTTCCTCCGACTTTTTCAAAGCCGAATCCATATGCCTCTCTTTGTCCTTCCAAATAGGTCTTTTGGGACTTTGCATTAGGGAAAACGTAAAACACCTTCGAGCTTATAGAGAGCTAAAAACTAACCGCCCAGAGGAGCGTTTCTGGACTTCACTCATTTCGAAGGTGTGGATTCAGAATGTACTCCTCCTTTAAGCTTCCGAAAAAAAGTGATCGAGGCTCTACAATATACTAACACAGCGGCCCTCAGCATGGACACTTAACCTCCCCATTTGTAAATTGTTCCCTAGAGGGCATCTGCCAGTTGGTCCACTTACATATATGAAGACGTCCATCATAAATGTAGAGTACGCCACAGCAGCTTCCCATTGTAGTACTTTCTATTGTATAACAAAAACACTCATGAACTCTTACCGCAAGAGGCGGGTGAGACGACCGCCTTTCGCAGCTCCTCTTGGACACCAGTGCTTCCTACTACATTGACGGGATATGGAACTCCCAGTACGTGTAATCTTAGACAACAGCACAGAACCCACGTTAGCCACCGGTGTTAAACCACGGGTTGAGTGAGAAGGGAACAGTACTTAAACTGTGTACGACTTTCAGAATATGCAAGGGATCAAAATGGAGACAGGGTCGCCGAATTTTACTGCCTTGATTGGGTGAAATATGGCGATAATGATTGCTGCCGTTTTCACCCACGTATAACCGCCGACCAGAAAGCTTTCAATGAAATTCGATCAAATTTGCTTGTTAAACGCATCCGTAAGGCTTCATTGCGGACTGTCAAGGTTTTGGCTACGTTTTCCACTTAATTAGTTGGAGGTTCTGACCGGCTGCCGGACGGTATCACGGGTTAGACTAACGCGATGGTGTTAGGGTTAAGTCAGGAATTAGACTTAAGGCAAGGGTGAGGTAAGTAGGGTTAGCTTTAGGGTTGGGATTGTGATTTGGGCTGAATCAAAACCTAGAAGTGGGCTAGTTAAGTAAACACCAGCCTTATTCTAACAATAGTTATAACCCGCAAGTCACTTAGCAAACACAACTACTCTACACGAAAAAGTAGTGAAATACACTAATTTCAATTGTTTTTGCTAAGGATATATCTCGATAGATTTCCCAAAATTTTGATTTGGAAAACAGATTTAATTAGCTTTTACAGTTTTTTTTAAAAAATTTATTCACGTTCACCCAGTCGAGAGATAATACAAGGATTTGGAAAGGGGATAGTCTAATGTGGCAAGACCGCGAAACTTAAGGCAGTTTTTACTCACAACTCCTGCGACGTGCAGATTCTTGTTGACCTCCAGTAAAATTATAGAGATTCAGAATACTTTAGGTCAGCAGGTATTCCGGGATTATATTAACGGAACACAAACTACAGGAGTTTACTCGGGAACTTTAGAGTTGTTACCTACAACCTGCTGTACGACGAAGTGTGTGATGGAAGTACGGTTTGCAATCTGAGACCGCGGTGTGGAGGCTCTGATCCACGCTCCAAATTTGGGGGTACAAAGAAGAAAAGAATACGAGGGAGGGTATGGTCGATGTTTAACATGGGTTGAGTGGTCCTTCGTCTAATAAAACGATGTCCAACAGGTCAACATGGGTGACAAAAGTATGCGCGAGAGCACCCGGGTATGCGACACAGCAGGCAGCGTCGCTCGCTTGAGATGTTATACTTGGATTATGAAAGCTCTAGTCGTAGGAGGAACACCGGCCGGTGTGGGTTTTAAATGTCAATGTGCTTCCAAGGGTACTGTTTATTTAAGGGAATTCGAAATTTCTCTGAGGTCATTTGTCATAGAGTTCGATGAATGCCCGCCGTATATTAATGAACGGTATAGATAAGCGAACTAGCTGTTAAGTTGGCTTGCCTTGATGCGGCACTCGGAGGCGTGGTAAATAAGGACCTCGAGACAGCTATTATGCTGCAGACAACTAGTATACATTAGCCCACGGAATTTCAAAACATGACGTGAATTCCGACTACCGGAGCTATTCTGTCTCGATTGCTGCAGGCAACAGAACGATTATCTGCCAGTCCGAACGACGTAGTTACTCTTTTGGTTTAATAAGAGGAACGGGATTGGCTTTCCGAGTGAAAACCCACTGTAAGAAATTCGTGGGTGACTTATGATTTCATTTGGTCCTCGACTGCAATGCTTCGTTTTGGGGCCTCAGGGGCGGAATCAGGTCGTCGTATGCTTTGTAATTGCGTATGCAGTCGTGTGTGTTCGTTAGTCAGGGTTGGTCGAAAGCACGTCTAGTGCCTATTCTTCTCTCTTCAAAGCTGTTTTAAGTTGCCGGCGTATCTACATAGGACGGTTTATTTTTTTAAATCTGAGTGAGCAGTCTAGGTCGAAAATGTTTTCGTCAACGAGCTGGCAGTGCTTCACTATTCGTCAACTGATTCACGCGATATTGTTATCACGATATTACTTCTCATGCTGGTAAATCTTTTCAAATATTTGTATCCCACTCATCGGGTGATTTCTGCTGGGAGAACTTGAACTAGGCTAAGTGTACTACAATACGGTCACTAGAACCCATTCGTAAGAGGTCTCATAGATGCAGCGCGCTCCCCTCCTCTTCGATTAACGCGAGATCTAGACAATCGTAACGTTGTCTTCCCTTAACACGTCTCCTGAATGTTAAGTTCTGGCAGAATCGTTTTTCTGAGGCTAACTCTTGCAACTGATGATCGAATGTGACCGATGAACCTACCGCAGTTCAAGCCTGCCAGTCGATATTGGAAGCATCATTTTCTAACAAAAAAGATATCCTCTGCTTATTGTGGAAGTCTCTTTTACTTAGTACGGCCGTGATCATGCCTGACCTAGCCGCTCTCGATGATGTCACGTATTGTGCATATCTACGTATTGCAACCTGCGGCAGTAGATCTGGCCAGCTCGACCCATTCCCTTTTCTAGCGACACAGACTGAACACCGAAGGTACGGAAAACACTTCCATTTCATGACAAATCGTGTCGAGTCAGGTTTTGAGTCGATTTCCTCTTTGACGCCTTCAGATGGGCAATGGCGTCGGATCGATGCAGTATAACTAGGCTCGTGAGGTAGGCGACGAAAAACGTGCCCAAACCACCTCAGCCGCCTTTCTTAAGTGGCTTATTTGGCAGCTAACATTCGCCGAAGGCTGTCCAATTATCCTCCACCCATGGACGTGCCGAGCAGCCAGAAGCTACGCTAACGGTGTGGAAGTCTTCGTTTTAGATGTCTGTATCACATCGTTCAGCGGAGTTAGGCGTAGCGAACAGGAAGTATTGGGAGAGCGGTACAATATGATCGAGATCCTATTTGCGAGTGGTTTTGTAGGTTAAGCACACTCCTCAAATAGAGTAAACACAAGGCTTAGACAGTTTAAATGCTGTTTCTTCCCAACACGTGTACTCAGTGCAGCGTGACTTTCCCACGGCTGTTTTCAAAAACTGATGACCAAATGCGGTTGAAGGACCCAACAAGTACTACGCCTGCCCATAGATATTGGGATCGCGGAGACGGAAATGCGATCGCTGGAACAAGTACTTTAATAGCCTGATGTATCGGATTCTCACTCGAATTCATCCTCAGAGACAGACTCAGATATTGGGATCGTTAAAACATCCAACAATGAGAACACTTTTGTCCGAGCAGCATTTGCTCAGTTCCCCAAGAAGAGACAACACGTTCAGCAGTGTGGTTTGGGGAACGGTATGCAACGGCAACTGACAGTAGCTTGGCGTACTTGGTAGAAATATCTAGAGGTAAAATTTAACTCCAGCGTCATGAGGTGCTGCTAGGCGACGGTATTTAACGGAGCGGATAACAACTTTCCATCGGCTTTTCCTACCTCATTTGAGGAGCTGGTAACCTCTGGTGGATGTAACATCCCCTTCAGTATCTCCAGAAGCCCGCTTTTCTGCCAAAGCGATGATACCTGGTGCGTGCTTGTCGACTAAATATCTCGGCCTTGTCATTGTATCAGACGAGTTCTGTGCATATAAGCATGTCATCTTCATTGTCCGTGTCCTCTGCATGAATCTGCTTAGATTTTGAACGGCGTCTATCACAGAAAATATTTATCTGTCTGCTCTCTCTTTCTCAGTTTTGTTCCGAGTTCCCTCGTTGTTTTATCATCGATTCGTTAATCATAAGAAAAAACGTTTCTCTACGTGAATTATGAAGAGTCATTATCCCTTCTGGAAGGAGTAAGGCCCGAACTTCGTTTCCAAGAATGGGTTAAAAAGACATTGGTAATGACAACCCCCGCAAAACGCCCGTTTTTCCTAAGCAGAAAGCTTTGTGCACATTAACATGTTCATCGTGCTGAAGGAAGGCATTTGAATATTTTCGGAATAGGTTGAGGTCGTGATCGGCCCCTTTGTTTGCAATCAGCGAAGTGGACGCGGACTTTTGCATTATAACAGCATTACGTTTTCGATGAAGACATGTATGATAATTCGGCAGCCTGGTTTGACGATAGAACTTCGACATTGAAAATACTTATGTCCTGGTTAGTTACTGTTAACAAAGGTACTAAAGTCACTTTCTAGAGTTAGTGGCTGATCCTTCTGGTGCGCACTAGTTGTTTTTCTTTCAATACTTCGCACTAGTAAACAAGTGGTCATGAGGTAGCAGATATTAATTTATGGCTAAACACCTGATTGGCTAACGGGACATTAAAAATTGTATGGGACACAGACGCTTCCAGGTGCACCGCTCGCAATCACGTTACCAGACCGTAGGACGGCATGTTTTATCAAGGAGTTTGTGTGTCACTAAGGCCTTCGGCGACACCGACGCCAGTCAGGAAAAGAAAATGTTGGGTAAATTGTGTCTGCAGTAGCCGCTCCAGTGTTCCCCTTTCCCGTTTGTCGATCGACGGTCGCGACAACCGCGTCAACCAGTAAACACACGGCTAACGCGCAGCCATCGCCAGGCTTGATCTAAAGCATTGCGCTAACAAACTAGCGCCATCGCACGCGCGTCGGTCGATGTCGCCTGTCACCCGTGGGCCTTTTTGACCAGCCCATGGACTAACTAATTACGTGCTCGAGACTTAGCTAGTCGCTTGCTCACGCTGGCACAGACATGTCAGACTCGCGTAAACAACACGACGCGCCTTACACGTCACCACATGGACGCTTTATTCTGACATAAGCGAACAGCCAACTCACGGCAATCTGTCGTGTATATCCTCATTCCTCAAAATAACCGAGGAAATAAACGTCCATATAAACCTCATTGTGGAACACGACATCAATTAGGCTATTTAAACGCTCAGTGGACGTCCACGACCTTCAGTGGCAGCATGTCCGTTGTTGCAACATTTCGTTAATATCGGAGGTTTAGAGCACACTTTTAAGTATACCAGTAAAGCTGTATAGGACTTTGCAGAAAAATTTTCATGTGTCATGAACTGCACTTTTGTTTGAGAAGGTATCAGAGGGCAACTTCAAATCAAAAGTAGCAGCAGGACCCACCCCAAAGGTTCAGCTGTTTCGGCTTTTTTGTTTTTGCCGCTGGAATTTTGAACTAGTAAAATCAACCTGGGAATTTTTAAAAAATTGTTGCCCGTATCCTTAATGCGCTTCCTGGGTTGTATTTACTGACCCTTTTCTAAAGTTTCTAGTCTAGACCGGCGTCAAAAAAGTTTATTGGGTGATCTGTCCCTTGTTGCAACACAAGAGGAGTCGAGGAATTTTGCGAATGCCGTTTGAAACGATAATGAGGAAGTCCTACTGACGCCAAAAAGAAACACAAGAAATCAAACAAGATTGTTTTTATCGTTTCGGAGGTGTCTGGCCTCTTAAGGACATTCCTTGGTGTTTCAAAACACTAGACTACCTGGCGTATATTAGAATGAAGCGTAATTTTCTTTTCGGTGTTCGGGATGCCGTAGGCGACAACATAGTTTGCAGTTACGCGGTCAGTCCAGATTTGCCAATGCAAATGAATGGACGATCACGCCTTTACACTGACGCCGATACCTTGCCGCAAACATACTACTGGCAATTCTACCCATGAAAATGTGGCATAGGCGACGCCAATTGAGACTGGTAGTAAAATCACGACTGAGATTATAATAAGCAATGCAAGAAACACGCCGTAAACCCCCGCTGTACGTATCGGTGAAACTAGTATATATTACTTTTCCATCCCGTCTCGTCACCCAGTCGTCATCTATGATGTCACAACACCGTGCGCAACAGAACGACTCCACGCCAGTGAACGACCGCGATCAGCCGACTGAACCAGATGAGTGTCCGATATTTGCGCGTCTCCATATGCAGCAGTCCGTGAAATATTCCACATTCACACTCTCCGCTGTCAAGCAAAACCCTACGGTATTCAGCATTCAGTGTATTTGAGAGAAATGGGCTTACGTAATATTTGCACATAAAAATCTAAAAATTAACAACAACATAAAGATATTACAGCAAAACTTGAACGCGGTCATCGATCTACGTAAGGCATTCGTTGAAAACTCACATAGTCCACTTGTTGGTGTAACATATTTCTGTCAAGCCGATATTTAACTGTCTCCACAGACTGAGACATTACAATCTCCTCAGGCGGGCTATTCCATGGTTCCGCGACACGGAGGGAGAAGAATTACTTTCACACATTCAATCTACCCTGGGCCACGCGTAGCTTGAAAGGATGTCCCCGGAGGCTAGTTATAGTGGCGAGTTGGAAGAAGTCGTCGCTCCGAAGGGCACAGTCCAAGCCACACACTTTACGGAAAGTTTAAATCAAGTCCCCCTGCAGCTGCCAATAACTCACAGGACAGAGATTAAGGTTAGTCAGGCGGGTCTCATAAGGCAGTGTACTTTGACCTCCTACTAACTTTGTGACACGCATCTGCACCCCTTCGAATAAATTGCAATCCTGATACGTCCACGGTCTCAAAGCCTGGATTGCATATTAAAGCTGTGGTCTTACAAGCCTGCCGAATACTTCGGAGAAGCATTCCTCATCGAAGACTTTGAATGCAAATCTGATGGCATACGGAATCGGAGTTAAGGCTGTAGTTGCCTTACGACATTGCGTAGAAGGCTTTAGAGTGTCTGCAATTCAAATTCTAATGTCTTCTTGTTTAGAAAGTATTGTTGCGTATTATGAATCTGATTTTGATTCCCGAGACGAAGTATTGTGCATTTGTTCAAATTGAAGGATGGGAGCCATCTGCCTGATCACTCGTCCAATCGACAGAGATTTTCTTGAAAGTTGATCTTGTGGGCAGCATTCTGGATGACTTTCCAGATTTAAACATCGTCTGCTAACATGGCACTAGCACAGTCCAACTCTTGCGCAAAATCATTGATAAACAAGAGAAAGAAGCTCGGTCCGAGCACTGAGCCTAGTGGGACTCCACGCTCTATGACTGTGTGTATAGATTGCTGTTGCTCCACGCAGACAATTTGGAAATGGCCGGCAAAAAAATTCCCGACCTAGTGAAGAAGTTTGCCGCCGATGCCCATCACCCTTAACTTGTAAAGGAGACGCTAGTGTGGACCACTGTCAAACGATTTCGGGAAACCAATATAGGCCACATGCACAGTGTGTTTTTCATCCAGTGCTCTTGTCCAACTTTGCATTGTGTATAACAAGTTCGTTGCATGATCTCCCCCTACGAAAGCCGTACTGTGTATTGGACACCAGGTTGTTGCTTTCCAAATAAACCATTAACTCCCTTTTGATGATCTTCACCATCACTTTGCAGCAGATTGATGTCAGACTGACGAGTCTGTAGTTCGTCGCA